AGACAAAACATTTATTGATATGTCGCGTAATAGAGGAAGAAGCATATTTATTTATTTATAATGTAAAATCCAATCTTCGTTGGGATTGAGGTAATTTTTCAATTATCCCATCCGTGCTTGGGGTAAAATGCCAATGAATATTCAAAAAGGCCAAACCATTCAATCTACTTTCAGAAGTTGTACTTTTTAGGTATGTTTTTATTCTTCTTAAAGAAGAGAATGTTCTCTCATTAGGTGCAGTATTGATGGAAAGATGCGCTAATTATATAATATATAATTATTTTAATACTGGGAAAATAATCTAAAAGATGTTTGAAAAAGCATCCATAGCATTTATGGGACTATATAAACCATAATTAATCTTTTATACCATAGTTGGTAATCAGCTAATAAGGCATAATAAGATACTTTAACATCTTCATGATAAAAATCTGCTAAATATTTTTTTTATTTTCTATCACCATCTGAAAAAGGTTGGGAAGGCTTTTGTGGAAATCATATCTACAATTGGCAAGTGCTGCTTAATGAATTAAAATCCGTTCATTTATTTGGGTTATAAATGTCTCTAAGAAAGGGGTAAATACATTTATTTTATAATACTCTTCTACTGACCCTATATTAATGTTTGAAGACGAGCTTGCCTTGCTGCAAGTCGAGAGAGACAAATATTAAACTCATATAGCTCTGCTTTTGACTCAACAATAACATATAAAATATGAACTTTATCAACATTAGCCCTAATTTCCTTGTGTTCTAATAAAATGCTCTCCGCTATTCTCGTCGTCTCAATCAAGTCAATGTCATGTTTTTGAAAAGTATTACATAAAATAGTTGTATAATTGAATAATTTATACATTCTAATGAGAAAATGGTATAAGTATTAAATACAATATTTGCTTGATTTTGAGGAAATAATTCTTTCATTGTAATATTTCAGTAAGAACATTCATAATCGTCTCTTTTAACTTCATAAAAGCTGTTACTGCTTGATGACGAAGACTCCATCTCGTTGGACAAGATTTTTGCAATTTCTTTCTCCTTGTTGGACATGGAGTTTCAAAAATAATTCTGTTTAAAATATTTTGTCGCTTGGGGTGTTCCATAATGCAGAACCCCCTAATGCTCTAAATTTTACAAGATCACGAAAATTACCTTCATTGTCATTAGTATTCAGGCTTCCTGAATCCAAATGGCCACGTAATGCTAGGCCCTGCAATCCACAATATAGAATGGTCTCAACAGTTAGTTTGATCTTACATCTATTTTCTTCTGCTATTTTAATCCTATTTTTATCAATATGTGATGAAATGGGAATCATATCCCCACTTTGAATTAATTTGAAGAAATCATCAGTTCACAACTTTTGTAATAATTTGTTTTTTGAAGATTGTCATAGATTTCTCCAGCATCTTTTTTATTATTGATTGGAGTCTTAACAGGTTAGTTAAGCTTAACTAATTCTTTCATCATATCTTGGGCTAAACAGGATACATATTTTGCAATAAGCTCCAGTGTTTAGAATAGAGTATGATAGCCATAACCATCTAGTAAAATAGATGTTTTGAAATTTTAACTTTCTATTAGTATATAAAGTTTGTGGATATATAGCGTTGCAGGGGCCATTAGGAACTTCGAATCTAAATATTCCTGCAATTGTGAGAGCAGCAATGATAGTATAATTCATTGTCTTTAACCCTTGAACATTTTTAATCTTTTTATTTATTTGTGAATATCCATATAACCACCTCATTGATATTGAAAACCCGCTCTCATCGATATATATTTTTCTTTCATAAAGGCTACTTCTACAAACCAATCGCGTATTCTTTGCAAATCTCGATATTTGATTTGATATTTTCTCTAACTGAACGTAGTGATACTCTTTTAAATCTAAATAATCCTGAGCGTAACCTTGAAACCGTATTTTTTGATATTTCCACATCATATCTTTCTTTAATCATTTCATATAACCTTTTTAAAGATAAAGTGCAATCCAAATTTATACAAATTACTATATATTCTTTATGTTCTTGATTTAATTTCTTGCATGCACGTGAACCTTCTTTGGGCAAACTATATTTAATTCTATTTTTGAGATTAGTATATAATATTTGTCACTGTCTTATAGCTTACTTTAAAACATGATGCCATATTTTTGATACTATCCTTTTTTAATGCGTCAATTATTAGAGCTTTTGTTTCACTATTAATGTGTTTTCCCCTTATTTTTACCATATATCCATAATTTTATTTTTTAAAACAAAAATAATTTCTTTTTAAAATAAATATTCAACAAATGGAAGGAATGACAAAAAAGACTAAAATCTTTTAGATTATAACATTTACCTCATTTTACGTTTAATTATTTATAATTCAAAGAATATAGTTTTATTAAAAAAAAAATTATTTACTTGCTCGAAAATATTGAATTCTTTTTGCATAAATATTAAAATTTAAAAAAAAAGAATTTATAAATGATTATGTTTTATTAATTTACATCTCGTTAGGTATTACAGTTCAAACTTATTTAATTTTATAAAAGTACATTATAATCAAACAATTAATTTAATTTAGCAATTTTAATTATATAATTTGATATGCAAAAAATTCTAATAAAAAAAATTGTCTGCTAAAATTTAGTGAAAATTAAATATAATTCCTAAGGCCACTTCCAAACACGACGTTTTTTCAAAGCGATAAATAACAAATTAAGCTTAATAGTGCGTACAAATTGTGCGTTGCAACGCTGTGTTTCAAAACGCAAGCAATGCATTTTAAATGTATTCGTTCAAATTGAACACATTTCCGTTTTTCATTTAAATTATTTTTTTCAAAACGTAAACCTGCTTGCGTTTTTAAATTTTTTTGAAGTGGAGAAATGAATTCACCAGCAAAAATGTAAGTATAATTATCTTTAAATCATCATATATTAATTATGTTAGATCATGGAATGACCAAATCACAATGAGGTTTGCAGAAATGTTGGAACCAGAAGAGATTATATGGAATCAGGCGCATCCTGATCACAAGAAGACATTCGTTGTGATGGAACATCTTTCCATCATAGGAATTAAGTTAAATAATATATTATATTATTAATAATTTTATTTTTAGATTATCAGAAGAATATCCTGATTATGACTGTAGTGTTAACTACTTAAAAAAGCGTTTAAGAAATTTCAAGTATCAACTGAGCAAAGAAAAATTAGACAGTCTATCCGGATCTAGAGGAGGGGTGCATGAATACAAGTATAAGAAATATATTAATTTCATGCAATCCACTGTTGCTGACATTACTGTCAGTAACTTCCAGGAATCCCCTCCTCCAACAAGGAAACCTGCCAAAAAATGATTTGCAAATTCTGATGAATGTATTGGGAAAAAAGTCATCTAGCATCCAGTAATTCTTATTTTTATCTATAATTTATTTATCTTTTATATAGACTTTTTTGGATAGCCTAGTTGATACAATGGAAGGCTACAATTCAGATGAAGATTTTTTTTTAAAACAGGTTTTAAAACTAATGCAAATAATCAAGATCAATAGAACACAACCAACAGAAACTTTTAATACTATTATATAATTTTTATATTTATATTTGTTATATTGTTAATTTTTGATATATTGTTATTAATAAAATTTTTATATAATTAGTAGTTTATGTGTTAATTTTTGATATATTGTTATTAATAAAATTTTTATATAATTAGTAGTGGATAATTATGTGTTAACTTCTTCCTAAAATGTAATTTTAAAAATATAAATAAGATTGCATAAATATATAGCAAAACATGATTAATATTTGTAATTATTTATACTGGCTAAAGTTTTTCACTCTTATGATTGAGGGCAATTTAAAATATTTGCATTGTTAAGTTTAATATATATATAAATCTAGTCTACAACCTTCATCCCCATTATTAATCCTCAACTTTGGATCCCACTTCATTTAATCTATTACAATTAACACTAAGCTTACAAATATATAACTAAACTTAAAATTATTTCATGATCAATACTTTATTCAAATTTTATTTAATATTAATAAATTTATTATAATAGTAATATAAATAAATTGATTATAATAGTAATATAAATAAAATTATTATAATAGTAATATAAATAAATTTATTATAATATAAATATAAATAAATTTATTATAATAGTAATATAAATAAATTTATTATAATAGTAATATAAATAAATTTATTATAATATAAAAATTTAAGAATTTATAAAATTTTTAAATTTATCCCTAATGATTTTAGATTCCTGTGAGCTTTAGTTGTTTTCCCTGCTTGCCAAAAATGGCCTTGTTGTAAGGTTAGCCAATGTAGGATCTGTATTGATGATAATATAATTTTAAAAATATATATAAATATGATTTTTATATATTTATTTAAATTTAAATATTAGTATTACCTATATCATCAATGGAAGCTGATCCTTCTTTGTATGATGTTATGTAGGATGCAAATAGCCTTTATCACTATCTCTATGCTAGGTAGTCCTATTTCTATTGGCTTACTTAGAATGTCAAATTTTTTGACTATTCCACCTGTCCTCGTATATGAGCTCCAGTATATAAGAAAATGTTGATCTTCTCATTCTTGTATAGTTATAAAATTGCGAATGTGTTAAATCGCCTTTAATATTAATATATTCTGAAAAAAGATTTCTTTTAACAAATATGTTGGATGTCTTGCTCTTCTTCCTTCCTTTATTTCTTTGTAGTAAATAGAAAGCAAGTAATTTTTTTTGTTTTAAATTTAAATGTTTCATATTGAAAAAATAAAAGTTAACGCATCAATTTATACATAGCTGCGTTTACGTTTTTTTATAAGCGTTTTAAAACGCTGCGTTGCAACGCACAATTTGTACGCACTATAATAGATGTGTTCTTCCAAACCAAACGATTTTTTCATGCTTACGATTTTGCGATTATTTTAATAACAAACTAGCTTGATTTTTTTTAACGATTAAATGGCGTCTGATACAATTGAAATGAATAAGTATTATTTTTTTAACGTTAATATTCAATAAATGAAATGATTTTAGAGGAAATTTTGTATCTGAATTGATAAATTTTGTAGAAGATCATGACGATTTATGGAACCAATCTAATGATAATTATTTTAATAGATTATTAGTAGATGAACTATGGACTTTATGTGCTAAAAAGTAGAACAAGACTTTATATTAAAAATATTGACTATTTTATAATAATACTTTTTAATTAACAGACTTTTTAATTAGATACTATTTATTAGTAAGCATGGAATATGAATTTTAAAAATTTATATCTTTATTTAAATAAAATTATTTTTTATCCTTTATTATTTACCAGGCTTGATTCATCGCCAAATGTCTGTAAATTAAAATGGAAGAATTTGAGGGATTCTTATTTAAAGGAAAAGAGAAAGAGAGAAGAAGTGCATTCAGGGGATGCTGCAAAAGCTAGCACTCAATGGAAATGGTATGATTCACTATCATTTCTTACTACTTCCACCACACCAAGAAAGACACTAAATAATATCACAGATAATATAGAGAATGTAAGACCTGTAAAAAGGGCTAGAGTAACAAAAGACCTAATGGAAAGATATTTTGACAAAATGTTAGAAATTGATAATGACCCAGATAGATTATGGTGCCTGTCTTTGGTTGATAATGTAATGAAGGTGCCAAATGAAGTTAAGGACACCATGAAAATTAATGTGCAAACTCTTATTTATAATTATATAAATAATATTATAGGAAAATGTTGATGTTTAAATAGTTATGTATTATATACACATACAAAAGTAATTTATTAATTTATATACACATACAAAAGTAATTTATTAATTTGTATACACATACAAAAGTAATTTATTTATTTAATATATAATGATAAAATGTTAAATTAAACATATATTTAAGAATTAAAATAGTCTTTAAATAATTCTCTAATTTCTCTTGAATTAGAACTTGAAGCATTTAAAGATCTACTGATCCCTAAATTTTCAGTAATAGGTAAAATATTAGGTGTATATTCTATTTTATCATAATCAATAATAATATTATGTAAAAGAGTAATTGTAGATATAATTTTATCAGCATTTTCAACTGAACACTATAGCTTTAGAAAGTAGGGCAAATTTAGCAGTAGCTATGCCAAATGTGCATTCAATGCACATTCTAGCACTACTTAATTTATAATTATAATATTTTTCTTCTGGGCTGGTATTCTTCGTAGGATAAGGTTTCATTAGATAATTTTTTAGTGGGAAGGCTAGATCAGCAATAATTACATGTGGAGCAATGATATTATTTGGCATAGGTTTAGGAGGAGGAATATAAAGTGTTTGACTTTCTAATTCTAAAATAATTAAAAATTATTTATTAACATTAAAAATTTACTTTGATATAAACTACTATTTCTGAAAGTGCCACCATCACTTTGTTTTCCATAAGATCCTACATCTATATATATAAATTTGCAATTACTATCTGCTAAACCAATTAACACTATAGATTTGAAAGATTTATAATTATAAAAAAGGGTTCCAGATTTTGCAGGACTTTTTATTCTTATGTGCTTACCATCCAATGAGCCAAGGCAGTTTGGAAATCCATGTTTTTCAAAATATTCTTGGGCAATCTAAATTTATAATACCTTCTCCCAATGTTCTCTATTTGGAATTGGCATATGAATATCTTTTAAAGTTTTCCATATAACATCACATACCTCTGGAATGATAGTAGCAATGCAACTTTTGCTTATTCTGCTACTATAAGATAGTTGTGAATAATTAAGGCCCGTTCTTAAGTATCTTAAATGGTTTGTATATATATTAATAACTAAATATATTACCTTAAAGTAACAAATAATCTCTTTTCAGGAGATATTGTTGTTTTTGCATTTGTTTGTTTATGTATAATTTTAGTTTCAATTTTGTTAAGTATATAATAGAAAACATTCCTAGATAATCCAAGATAGTGAAAGAATTGCGAATCATTTAAATTCTCATTTAAATTGATATAGATCATATACAGATCTCTTTCTTTATAAATTATACTTACTTTTCGTTTTTTTTTATAATGTCTCATATTAAAATATCTAGTTATAAGAATCATTTTTAAAAAATCAGCTGTAAAATATAAATCGTTGCTGTTTGGAAGTAAAAAATATTGCGAAAACGTGCCTCGGATTGAAAAAACGTCGTGTTTGGAAGTGGCCTTATATATTGAGTTGTAAATTAAGCCAATTTAAATATGGCTAATCAAGCAATAAATCATTCATTTTATATAATTGTATAATAGAAAATAAAAATATAGTTTTGACCTTTTCTTAATGCCTTTTAGCATAGACTCTATCAGTGGTTGGCAAAATTTTCTTGCATCGAAACAGATATCTAGTAGTAATTTTTTCTTCAAGATTAAAGTATTTTTTGAATTTTGGTAAAGGATAATCTATATTTTTCTCATTTTCCAGAGAAATTTCACTATCTTCAACAATCTCACACATTTTTAATAACTAGATTTATAATGCTAACTAGATTTATAATGTATATTTTTAAATATAAATTTAAATTTCATAATTAAATAAAATAAAATAAAAGGATTATAATTTTTGATTTAATAAAAAATATATTTTAATAATTTTTAGATGTATTTATTGTGTTAAATTGAAAGTAGCGAAGTAGCGCAAATTAGTAGCGAGTTACTGCTATCGCTATTTTCTAAAAAAAGTAGCCAGCTAAAGCTACCGCTACTGAAAAAAGTAGCGCGCTATAGTAGCGCGCTATTTTAACAACACTGATTACTTCCACAAAAGCCTTACCAACCTTTTTCAGAAGGTGATAGAAAAAAAAATATTTGTTAGATTTTTATCATGAAGATGTTAAAGTATCTTATGATGCTTTATTAGCTGAATAATTATGTTTATAAAATTAACTGTGGGTGATATAGTCCCAAAAAATGCTTTTGCATTTTAAACACATTTTAGATTATATTCCCAATGCCAATGTATTAAAAGGGTTTATATATATTAGCAACTCTTCCCATTAGTAAACTAATGAGAGAGCATTTTCTTTACAAAGCTGCAGAGGTACCATTTGCAGAGCACGGCTTGGATTTTCTTTTAGAATTTTTTACGGCCCGGTTCGGATTTTTTTAAAAAAAAATTAGGCCAGCCCCAGCTTTTTTAAAATAAAATTTAAGGCCCGGCCCGTATTTTTTAAAAATAAATTATATTTCTTTTTGATTTTTATAGCTAATAATAACTATTTCAAATATAGGCTATTTTAAAATATACAACCCGGCCCGGATATTTTTTTTAAATTTTCAGGCCTCGCCTGGGTGTTTTTGTAAAAAATTCAGGCCCGGCCCGGGTATATCTAAAAAATTAAAATACGGTCCGGCCCCCAGGTCTCTGAAAAACATACCAAGAAGTATAACTTCTGAAAGTAGATTGAAAGGTTTGGATCTTTTGAATATTCATAGGCATTTGACGACGAGCAAGGATGAGATAATTGAAAAATTAGCTCAATCCTAACGAAGATTGGATTTTACATGTAAATATATAACATAAAAAATACAATTATTCCTAAGAAACATTTTGTGTATTAATTTATATTTCGAACATTTAAATTTTTGATATATATAAATTTTAAAGGCTCAAAAAATTCATATTTCTATTTTGGGTCATTTAAGTGATTCATATAGTAATTATATTCATTTTATATTTTATAATTTACATTTATTTTTTATAATTCACATTTATTTTATAGTTTTTCTATACCGCCAGTTATATCCGTTTAATTTAATTCACATTTATTTTATAGTTTTTTATATAACGGTTTATACATATAATCTTTATAATTTACATTAATTTAAAATTGAGTATTAGAAATAGTTATTAGTTCTAATAAATTTATGCTTAATATTTAAAAAAAACAATAATATTTCTTTAAAAAATTTATTGTCCCCCCCCCTCCCCCCCCAGACCAAATTCCTGCATACGCGCCTGAGTTTTATGATTTGGATTGTATACTCTCTTCTTCAAGAATTGTTGATTTGGTTTAGGCCTATAAATTTTTCCTTATTAATCCATTCTATAAAACATTGTATAAAATGGTAACAGAGAGTTAATATTAGTTTGATAATCTTTGTCATTGTAAGTCGCTAAGATTTATATTATTGCATTATGTGGTTTTTAAAAACTATTGTCAATTGAGGCATATGTATGAATAAATAAATCTTTTTTATCACTTGTAATTATTTAGACGCAAAATTTTTTTATATATGCAATCGAAAATATTTTATAATGTAATAAATAGATTTTGTATTAAAAAAATATTATTTTTAGAAATGTCTTGTATTGTTTTAAATATTTATATGCCAGTTTATTTTGTGTGCATAATATAATAAATGACAAAATATGAAAATCAGAATAATTGTTCAGAGTTAACAAATTTTATAAAGTACAATATATTTATATAAAACCCGACCGAAGGCCGGGCAAAAGCGGGTTGAGGGACATGAGGGGCGAAGCCCCCCCCCATAAAATTTTTTTTAGTTGAGCCCCCTGAGATGTAAAGGCTAGCGACGCCCCTGTCTTCACCTAATATTAAATTAATCATAAAGATATATAATCATAATAAAACATATCTAATTAACGAATATACTAATTCATAATATACAAATAATATAATAAATCCTTACATATATTTCCATAATATCAATAATAACCATATATGTGTACTTTCCACATTACTACAATTTTATCTCCCGAAAATTTAGATTATTTTCTTACATTTAAAATCTTAAACACTATTGGATATAAGAAAATTTTATCAATTAAAAAAAACCTATTCAATTTATCTCTACTATATAATAACTATGATTGAAAAATTTCTAGATTGTATGAAATGTTCAGAAACAAATAAGACACATAACTTGCTGAATATAATTATTTCCTAGATTTCTTTTACTACAGGAAAATGGAAACTGCAAAATGCCTGAACAGAATGGGGTTTTCGACACTTGGATCTAGAACAGCCTAATTTGTATGCCCTTCATTTTATCTGAAACAGAAACATTAGTATATTTAATTTTACTGCCAATTTTTTCATTGGAATGTATTTATAAATTATTATTAAATAATTTTATTCAATATTTTTTAAAAAAAGGGATTTGGCTGAAATTATGCCCTAAATAGATTTATTCAGGAAATTTAACTTTAAAATATTTTTGAGGAAATGTAATAATTGTTTTTTAAAATAAAGGACATTCTAAAAAAAATAAGAATTATTTATATTATATCTTAGATGTGAAAAATATTATTATAACTTATATGTAGAAAATAATATTTGACATTGAATAAACTGTGAGAAAAAATGATTACTTAAACTACCACCATGTTTTATCAGTTTTCTATTTACTTGATACGTGATATATAGCGCATATGCCCTCTGACTTTGAATTAACAACAGAGCTATGCTAGGTTTTCCTCATTTCGATCTAATTGGAACATAAGTTAATTGGGGTGTAAAGTTAAAAAAATATGAAGAGCCCTCTACACGTTTGTGGGCAAGCAGCACGTACTTGTACGCGCAACATTTCGAAAAATGTTACAGACGTCCATAGGGTTTATTTAAGAAAAAGGGTGGGGCAGAAAAAAGGGCCTATGCCCAAGAACTGCAGTATAAGTTAATTACTGTAAAGGTGAGTTGTGGCTGATTTTAAATTTAAGTTTTTTAGTTAAAGCCGTGAATTTTTACTATGAAAAATTAAAATTTAAAGAACATACCAAGTGAATTACGGGTTGTCCTTAGTTATAGCAGCACATACTATGGTTTAGAAAATACTAGTTGAGATTAACGTTATAAATTTTAATCAAGCCCAGAGATTTTTCATTTAAAATATCTATCCTTAATCCTGAAAAGCTTTTTTATATAATTTTTACAGTTGTTTAATTTGATAAATTGTTTCATATTTAAGTTTAGTTCCATTACATCTTTTATAGTTTTATAATTAATACCATAAAGATTTATATTTTGTGTATTCTTTCTTATTATAAGTGTAGAGCCATGTAATGGCATCGTGAACTAGATTATGGTCCGAGTTCCTAATGATGTGAGATAGGAATTGGATACGACGTTTCTTTAAGATGATATGAATTCGGATATGTTATGATATTCTCCATAGATTATTATTTGATATCACTTTTGGGTAAAAGATTTCATTTATAGTTCGGAGTCAGTTATTTATGAATGATTGCAGTCTTCTATTCTCTGTTTTATTGATTTCCATAAGTCCCCTCCAAATAATAATATAGGAATTATAATAGAGTTGAAAATTCGGAGTCTGGTGTACACAGAAATCTCTTTGGTTTTACAATTTTCATATATTTATAAAATGTCCCTTTCGCTTTTTGTATTCTTATTTTCAACTCTTCTTTACAGCATCCCCTATTGTCGAACATAACGCCTAAATATTTTATTTTGTCTACTATCTTTATCACATTTCCTCCAATTGTAAAATTTAAATTTTGGGCTGCATTTGGAGAAGGAAGAATGAAAGTTTTATTAAAGTTAATTTTTAGACCCAATCTCAGACTTAAGGTTTCTAATAAGTATAGCAAATTTTTCGTTTCTTCAACACTCGTAGATACTATGGCGATATCATCAGCATATGATATTATCCGATTTTCCACACATATCGCAACATTGGAACCCATATTCATTAGATTTGCAGCTCCCAGGGCTTCTTTTATGATTTTATACATTATGATATTGAACAAGAAAGATGAAAGTGTGCATAGAGGGGGATACCTTATTGTTAATTTTAAAACAAGCGGATAAATTAGAATAGTGATTCTTTAGGATGTAGATAATATTAGGTTCAATCCCACATTTTGAAGGGCGTCATGATTTACGCTATCGAACCGACTAAAATGAAAGAGAAGAAAGCTGGAATTTTATATTTCCAACATTTTTGTATCATTATTACTATTTCTTAATTTTTCTAAGCACTATTTCATACATATTATCTTCAATTCATAAACAGCTGAAATATTTATATGTTTATGCTCTTGAATAATAAAGTAAGAGTTTATAATAAAAATGTATAATTATAGTCCCCCCCCCCTACCTGAAATTCAATTACACAATTGCATCAGTCCCCCTTCCAGTTCTAGATGAGGACCTGAATATATTTATTTTATAAAGAATGAGTAATCTCTGGTCATATGCATTCTTTTATTATTAATTTATATTGCTTTTTATATTTTGATTAATAAATAAAACAAAAATTTAATAAGCTTTTTCAATATTTTGATTTATATATTATATTATTAACATATCTTATTTAGGCATTATCCCTCAATTATTTAAATGTGTATATATATACAAACAACCTTAACACATTTGCAATATTCTATAATGCAGTAAAGGACAAGTTTATTGATAATTTAATTCCAAAAATTAATAAAAAATTAAAAATCAAAAGTGACGTTAAGTCATATACAGATATAAATTCTGATAACAATATAATTAATTTATCACTTAGTAAATTGACTAAAAATGAGAAGAAAATAGATGGTAAAATAATTGATCAAGAATTAAATGTAGATATAAATGATAAAGTGATATTTAACATAGATAATATTGTGTGTGAGCATAAAATTTATGATATAAAATTTAAAACTGAACCTAAAAATTATGAAATCAGTTCAGACATATCATGTAAAACATCTTTTCGTAGTAATGGCATATCACAAAATATTGATGATAAAAAGTTGATTAAGCTTGATTGCATTTCAAAATATTCAAATGCTGATCATATAACTAAATTAATTGATTCTATAAAGAAATTTCCTTTATACTATAAAAAATTAGAAAATAGAGATCTCTATGAACAAAATAATGATAATATTGATCAATTCAACCTATTTAATGATGTTGATAAGCTTCCTAGTGTTAAAACAATTTTAAGAGAAACTGCTAGTAAAGAGTCCTTAATGAAATTATTTATTTGGCGTAAAAAAATGATCAAACAAATGGGAACTAAACCTTTTGTTGAATATAATAGAAGTAAAACTTTTAAAGACATTGATTAAGTTCAATATATTTTTAAGGCTTAATAAAATATGGAAGCAATTTGCACTCCCTTTTGGAGAAGAGGTATAAAGGTCAGACTATCAATGAAAATTTAATACCTGATCAAAATAAAGGACATTGGAAAAGTTTACAAAACGTATTTGACATGATTCCCACACTAGATATACATGAAAAATCTGTCACCCATCCCTATCTAGGTTACACTGGGATTGTAGATGCTTTAGGGACATATGAGTAATTTTTAAAACATTCTTTATTATATTAATATCATATTTTTTGTTAATATCATTTTTAAAAATCTCATTATTATTTTATCTAAGAAACAGTATTTGTGCTATAGAATGGAAAACGTCAGTTAATTCAAAACCAAATTTAATAAAAACAATGGATACCCCATTACAAGTTGCTGCTTACATTGGTGCTTTAAATTTTGAACCTAACCTCCTTTATAATGTATATTTTTTACAATTTACAAAAATTTCTTACACTTTATTATATATTTTTATTTCTCACATTAATAAATTTCACAACTTTCTTTTTAAATAATAGTCTAAAATTAAACTTAAAAATATTTTAAATTTATTTATAAATTATAATTAAGCGTCCTATTAAAAATGCCGTGATTGTAATCGCTTACCAAAGTGGCGATCCTGCAGATTTATTCTATCTTCCTCACGAAATTACCGATTACTATTGGCAAGAATGGCTCTTTAGATTATCAACATTTTGGAGCCAGAAGTTAAATGCTCAATTTGGCAATACGTTATTATAATTTAAAAAAATATCCTTCCCTTCTTTATTATCCAAACTAACTATCAAAATATTACTTTATAGACTATAATGATATTCTCATATATAATTATAAAATTTCATTTATAGTGTTATAAAATGCGTGTTATATTAAAATTGCTAATGGTATTCATCAGAAGTCTGCAAAGCCTGCCCAAAAGAGTACAGACTGGCTTGGAAAAATTATTGATCCCATATCATTTACCTATTATAGGCCGAGCTGTGAGAATTTTGGACAGGTTTTGCAGTATCAAACTCATTCATATATATAAATAAGGTTGCCATAATTAAATTTGACTTATCAATATCTATTTGAATAAAGATCATGATTTAAATAATCTCTTTTAGTTTTGGTTTTAATAATTTATTAGTTTTTTTTCTATTTTCATGAAAAACCTTTTTTAATACCTTCTTTTACTATAATTTATTTTTCATGTGAGTTTTAATTGCAATATTTTATTATTGTAATGATTTTATATGTTGCGTTAATCCTTAAATGATTTTTATGTATAATATAATTCTATAAAAATGATTGTAATAATATTGTTAAAATTAAAGGAGACATTATAAATCTCTACTTATTCCTACTGCCTTGTTTAATAGTGATTTATTGTTAGATTTATTCAGTTGCCAGGCTCGTAACTAGAATTTTTGTTTAGAAAGACCTCACTTTTTTGTTTCATATTTTAATATGTTCTTTCTGTTATTTTTTTCTCATGCGCTAATAAAACTAGGTTGTCATTACTAAAATAGGATACGTGAATAAGTAGCTTAGAATATAAATTGCGTGCAGCATTATGCAATATATTATAGAAAAATAAAGGATTTGTAATAAATGACTGGATTAGGTTATAAGCCTAATTTATATTATATTTATTAAAAAATATTAAATACAAATCTTAAAAGACAATATATCAAAATTTGTCCCGTAGTTACGCTGATCTTTAAAATATGAATTATAGTTTGTCATTTTATTAAAATAATCTAAAAATTTTACATCAAAATTTAAATTTATTTATAAATAAAATCTGTGGGTCAGATACGATTATCATAAATAGGCAAATATTTAATATTGAAAACATGGAAATTAAAATAATTTTTGCTGAATCAATTAAACATTTCTAATTTAACAATGGATGTTTTCATAAATTTCACAGGAAAACAGATATAATGCAATAAAATTAATGCATGTTCATTTAACAACTTTGCCTCAGGAGATATTGTCGTCCAGGGCATATTTAAATATAAAAAAACATTAGCCATTAATCAAATAAATCGATAAAATCAGCTAATTCGGATCATCTACAGGCACATGCCGATGTAAATATGCCAGGCACTGAAGTGCTTTTACCTACAAAAATATGAATCGAATAATTTATTATTCGTATTCGTATGAATAATAAAATGATTATTCGATTCGATTCGAAAATTTTATTTACCATGAATTAAAAAAGATCTATTATAAAATTTATTTTATAAAATTTAACTAAGGATAAAGACAAACAAATTTTATTAGTGAGACAAAATAGAAGCATACATATATAATATATTTATATACAATGTGGAAAAATCAATATAATATTCATATCTATAATGTAGAAGATAAATCTGACAACAGCCAATTTTTCAAACATAAAGTTTTTCGGATTGTTTCCTCCTTTAACGACATTCTGTATTTTGTAACCATATGAGCTCCAACAGAAAAGAGTCGCTCACATGGGGTTGAAGATCCCTGTATCGACAATATGTCCCTCGCCATTTTAGATAACACGGCATTAGCAATATTTTACAAATAAAGTGGTAAAAACTAGGCAAAAAGTCAAATTTATGATTTTTCCATCATCAAATGAAAGAGAAATATCAGGTTTGCCCGTCATTCTTGATGTGATGGGATTAACAGTTTATTATAATTGTATATGTTATGTGTTATATAAATTACCTTCTTCGTCCACCTCTAACATAAAAGAAATTTCTAAAGTAATGGTCTATTATGAGATAAATTAAAATGGAGTTTCAAAATTTGGCGCAATTTTCATTATTTTACTAGGAGATTTTATTAAATTGAAATAATTTCAAATAATTCCTAATAATAATATATGATTTATATATGATTATTTTCCAATATATATTAATACTATAAATTATTTTAGTCGAATAATCTCGAATAATTTGATCGAATAATAGATAAAAAATTATTCGAGATAAAAAATTATTCGAGATAAAAAATTACTCGACGAATAATATATTTTTCTTATTCGAATTCGATTCGAATTTTCGAATCGAATAATTGTGTTATTCGTATTCGTAAAATACGAATCGAATATCGAATAGCAAATAATTCGTTTTAGGTATAGAAGTGCTGAGCTATATTTCCTAAAAAACGCCACAATAGTTCTAAAAATGGGTGCCGGTTATAATGGCTACAGAGCAAGTTTTCAACTATACTCACACATAATATTAAATTAAAATGTAGTTAATTATTACTAAGTTAATAAAAAGATCATAATTAATAGAAACATAGTTAAATACAACTAATTCACGGTAAAATTTGGCTTGCTTATAAATAAATTTGCATATTAAAACATGTATAAAATATAAATTTATTTAGCAGCCTCGTTTATTTATATAAGCGGAGTAGTATAATATTAAAATTATTATTAAAATATATTTAATCATAGGGTTAGGTCTAGCTATCTAGTTAATTAGATTTTTTTTGGTAAATAATTGGATATTTTTGAACTGCTCAAATATAAAGATTTGCAAACAGGATTTTTGGAAGGCCCAAACCACCATTCGTCAAATCTATCATAAATGGTTTCTATGAAACGGCTTGATTTTTCATTAAGTTTTGAGCATAATTCGCAAAACGGATCAGGTCTGAGTATATCGTAAGTATTTTTCCATCTAAAATAAGATAGATATTCCGACGGGGAATCATCTAACATTAACAAATAGTTTGCGAGACTTGACATCGAGTCGAAATCATACACATTGATGTAAGAGTGAGGCGGTAATACTTTAGAATAATCCACCGCCCCATAAACTATCGGTACTACATTCAATGACAATGTGTCAAACGCCTTTTCTGTAACGTAATCCTTACACAGTTGATTTTCAAAAGCTAAGTAGAATTTACAATTTCTTTCTACCATTCTTTGACACCTTTTTTTGGTTCTGCTTGAACAAATCTTGTTTCCGCAAGTTCCATATATGTCTAAAGGTATATATTTGCCGAGCTCGCGAGCTATGCGCTCTCTTAAACTCTTAGTCCAACAATGGCTCACGAACCAGCAAGTTCTAGCATTCGTTTTTATTTTGGATTTTTTGATCAGAAGGCTCAAACGGTAGGCTTCATTAAAATCTATATTTTGATGTTCTAAATTAGTTAAAGATGATTTTTTGGTGGTTAATCCCCACGGAATATGAATATCGGAATCCTTTCTATATGACATGGTCCAGTTGAAGACTCCGTTAAATAAATTCTGGTTAATGTTCATATCATTTGGTGGTTCCGTATCGTAAAATATCCATTTTTGATGAGTTTTTCGGAAATTGACTGGAAAATATATTTTGTTTTGTTTCTTCTTTAGAATAAATAAAATTGCATCGGCAAATTGGAAAAAATAAGGGTTGTTAGGGACTATGATACAATTTTTAACTTTGCATTTCTCGAATGAATGATTTATAAACGATAATTCTTGCTTTTCTGACCAAAAAACGATAATTTGCGGTTTTTCTAATCGTTTTACCTCTTGTGTAAACGACGTAAAATCAATGTAGTTTAATTTATTAAAGCAGGTTTGTAGAATAAAACGTTGCCGTCTTACCAATATTGCACAATATTGTTTGATAAAATTTAGCCCTATATCTGAATAAAACTTTTCGACTTTATTTTCCTTTAGTTTGAAAGATCGATTAACAAATTTAGATACTAATTTTTCTTTATTATGTTCATATTCTTTGTAAATTCTTCTTGGATCTTGATTGAAGGATTTATATTTTTTATTATATTGTCTATTTATTTGATTTTCATAATCGCCACCATACTCTTCCATATAATAATTAGTTTGATTGTAATTTATGTTCGGGGTCAATATATACATATTGTACAAACAAAAAATGAAGTATACGGCGATCACATAAACTATAGCTCTGACTTTATTCGTTGAGACCATTTTAAAATTGATTTTATTACTAAAAATGCCGATTGTTAGCCTTGGCAGTTTAAACGGGAATTAAATAAAAGAGATAATCACTAAAGTACAATCTTATATTTTATTATTTTTTCAAAAATAAGATTTAAAAATATGTTATAAAATTTAACATTAAACGAACACTTATAAAATTTAATATTAAACGAAACACTTATCATGTAAAATATGATAATATAGTATGTTAGCTATATCGCTTACAATCTACATTTTTGTATAACACATTATGGTGGGCTAAGAAAAAAATACTTTCTTTATCCTTAACAACCTTCGTCTCTTCTTAACTCACTCTAGGAGTTTACCTACTCCATGATAATAACATACTAGTAAAGCCCTGTCTCGGACCTATTATTTTTTTTACCCAATCCGAGAAATTTTTTAAAAAAGTGTTAGTCGATTGACTCAATCCGAATGTTTTTTTCAAAGATCCAGGTTTGACCCGATTTTCTTTATTGGACTGTTCAAAAAATGCGATATTTTACAAAAAGTAAAAAAATTCTAAATGCTGAAATAAATTTTTTTTGCTGGGAATTTTTTTTAATGTTAAATGTAAGCCGGTCCTGGGCCTAAAAATTCTTTCTACTGCTGGGCAGGGTTCGATCGAAAAATTAAGGCCCATCCACGTTTCTGGTCCTGTTTCGACTTATTACTTAGCTGGCTATATAGCTTCGACTAAGCAGCCTAAAAACAAATAAATACGAAAAATAATGCCACCAAACACTTAATACAAGCCAAAATAGAGTGCCCTAGTTTAAAAGCTGTTTAGCCTATCTAACCAGGACACAGCCTTAATGGTTTTTATTTTATTTAAATTAAAAAAATGCGGTAAATTTTCGATTAAAAAATTCAGGCTAGGTTCAAATAAAAAATTCTGATAGGAACCCAATCCTAAAAATTTTGAGTTGGACTTTGGGCTTAATTTTTTTAATAAACCAAGCCGGCCTTTGAAAAAATCAGAGAACTACAGAGGTACCATTTGCACGGCCAGCCCTAGATTTTTTGAAAAACATTTTTGACTCGGCCCGGATTTTTTTTAAAAATTTATTTCGTTTTATCAGACCCGGCCCGGATTAAAAAAAAATATATTACATTTATTCTTAATTTTTATAGTTAATAATGACGATTTAAAATATACGGCCCGACCCGAGTACCCGGACCAAGCCTACAAGTCTCTGAAAAAATATATAAAATTTGCTTCTTTTATTTAAAATAAATGATAATATTCTCTGGGATTAGGATAAAACAATTTGTTATTTTTATCTAACTTTATAAAAAAAAAATTTAATTAAAAATTTTAGACCTGGCTTGAGTTTTTTCTTTTTTTAACTTGATTGAATATCACGATTATAAATAAATTTGGAAATAAGAAAAGTTTTTAAAAATATCAAAAGTTGCGAAATATTTAGGGGAGACCGAGGAAAGTGTTATCCCGGGGCGTAATTTTTTCTCAAATAATTTGAAAAACTATTAAACTTTGAAATTTAAGCCAAATATGTATTTTAATTAAGTGCTTGAGTAGGATTAAAAAGGTTTCGGACAAAATTGCTCATGAGAAATTTCAAATGCAAATTTTAATTTTAATCTACCAAAAGTAATTTTTTAAAATTTTACATTTCATTAATAACTTTATATATAATATTGTTCAGACTTAATATTAATTAAAAATTATAAAAAAAATCTCCATTTTATCATATATAAAAATATTGAATATAATTTAATATCCAAAAATTAATTTTTAAATGATCTTTAGGACCTAAGAAAGGTTTTAAGATGATGATATTTAAATTAAATATTAAGAGGTATCAGATTTATTTAAAAAAAATAAAAATTTTCAAGAAAGATATATATATATATAGACCTATATTTAATCCAATACAGGAATCAATAGTAACTGATTATTTGATAAAAGATTTAAAACTATTATCAGGATTATACCTTAAACTATATAAATTAAATGAATTTTTTAATAACAATTGTGCAGATTTTTATGAGACTTCATTATAAATTAATATTAAATTCTTTTATTTTTATTGGATTGTAATAGAAATAGATTTACAAGAATTGGATAAAATTTAATTATATTTATGTATTAATGTTAAATTATTAGGCATTAGAATCAAGTTTTAATGTACCAGAATCATATTTAATTAAGTATAATTTAAATAATTTTATAATGTTGTTGAAATATATTAATTTCAAAATGATGTACATTGATTTATAAATTATTATTTATTTAATGTTAGAATATTGCAGAGTTGTACTTGTAGCGCGCTACTTAGCGCGCTATCTTTTCTGGAAGCTATAGCTAATAGCCGCTACTTTTTTTTTAATTATTTAATTTTTAAAAAATATAATGAATGTAAGTATAAAAATGAAAATTTAAATAAAATATCATAAATAATTATAATTTTTATAATTTATTATTTAATTTTGAAATTTAAATATATTTTCAATTTTTAATTTATATTTTCAATCTGTGTTAATAATCTAAAATGGCATCGCCCATGGATATCCAAATCCTTGAAAGTGATTCAGACATGGAAGATTCAATGGAAGAAAATGTACTTAATAGCTCTAATAACGATTTCCCATTCCCTAGATTTGAAAAAAATTTTTAAAATAAATATTAAAACAAAATCTGGATTCAAATTCCTGTGCTTAAAATGTAAAAAAAATATATCATCAAATCAATCGAGTAGCTATAACCTGAAGAAACACCTAAAGGTAAATTGTTATTTTTACATTATAATATTTATTTTATTAGACTTGCTATAAGGAAATAGAGAAACATATAAAAAAATTTGGTATAGGAGAATCTTCATTCAAAAAGACAAATACTATCTAAACCAAATTAACTGATAATAAACATGCCAATATTTCACAAAAATTGGCTGATAAAGTAATTGTTGATTTTATTATTGACACAGTTCAGCCATTGTCCTTGGTTGCGATAGGCTAATTGCGAAGCTGAATAATCTTACTCCAACAAACATAGATTGCCGAGTATCTACCACGAAGACATCCTCAAATAATTTTTTTGAAATTAAAGATGATTTAATAGAAAATCCAATTGATCTTTTTTTTCAATCAAAAAATATTGAAATGAATATTTTTGATCATATATTAAAAATTTATATATAAAATTAAATACCCCCTTGCCCTCAAGTGCTAGTGTCGAGAGATTATTTAGTAAACAAAGCTTATACTTTCTGATCGTCGCTCTAGACTTGGGGATGATAATATTGAAATGATATTATTATTAAAATGCAACAAATTAAAATAAATATTTATTTATATTGCTTATTTTTTTATAATCTAAACTAAATATATTTTTATATTTATAAATGTTGATTTTTATATATTATTTATTATACATTTACATTAAAAGCAAAAAAAAAATAAAAAAAATTTGTTTCATTTTTTTCTAAATTTTTTTTTATAAAAAGTAGCTAATAGCGCGCTACTTTTTTGACAAATAGCGAAGCGGTAGCGCGCTACTTTTTTTGACAAATAGCTATAGCGGTAGCGCGCTACTTTTAAAAATAGCGTTTAACAACTCTGGAATATTGAAACCTATTCAAAATGGAATTTTTGAGAATTAGATTTTTATGAGATTAACATAATAGGGGAGACCGGGGTAAAAAGATAGGCATTTAATTTAATACATTATTTATATTTACGTTAGTTAGCATTTCAAATGGCTAAGAAGCATAAATTAAAAATGCCTAAATCTTGAGAGATAACTGAAACAGCTAGTGATGGTTTGGTGCATTTATTAAACGTAATCCAACAATATCAAGTTTAGTTAGAGCCACCAATTTCAATTTTAAAATGGTTAACTTTATTTTAAAAATTATTTCTACCAGGTGATATTTATAACATGGTTGAAACTGGTAAATTTTAATTTGACAACAAATTTATAATATTTTATATTAACAATTACTATATTTTTTATATTTTCTATAAAAAAAATGTATGGAAAACGACAGGCTAAAACATACCTCACAAAAGGATAAATCGTCCCCCGTGTATTTTTCATAACCTAATAATATTTATTTTTTAAAAATTTAGATTAAAAAAATATAAGAATTTTTTTCTTAGATATTAATTTCTACCATAGTTAAATATATAAAGAATAAAACAACATTTAAACTATTTTGATATAAGTTACTTCTTCCTTTTATAAAAACCACTCAATTTATTATGAACAATATAAGTATACCCTGGTTTTCCCTATTCATTTTCTTTTAATATTTTGTAATTAATAGAATAAAATAGATAAACATCATTTAAATTGTAAAAGTTATTACTGCACATTTAAATGTAATACATAACATTAAGATAAAATAGATATCTTAAGTTTGCGATTTTAAAAAATCAGGCCGCAATAAGCCAGGCCTAGATCTGGTTTTAAAAACATGTTTATTATCTGGACGGGAGGGTTTGGGCCAAAAATGATTTTCCAGGGGTACTCGGTGGTGTATTTAGTGAGCCATAATTATAGGGTATTATTTATCAAAATATTCTTGGTTAATATAATTATTAAACCTTTTTGAAAAGTTAGGCAAGTAAGATTTTTATAGTAGAGTTCACTTTTTCTTTAAAAATAGATTCCCAGAGGAAAATTAAACTACTGAACTCATATTTTAAAAGAAAGTGCCAATAAAAATGGCTACCTTCAATATGTAAATATTGTAACCATATGATCCTAAATCCTATCAAAGTGACAGCGCATGTCTAAGTATTTATTATTCAAAAATATAGATCTAAAATATAATTTCATCAATTAACCTTAAAATAAATAAATTCGTAAAAAATATTTAAAAAATATTAATGAATATAAAGTATTACCCATTTTTGTAAGGATGAATATGTTTGTATTATTGGGAAGA